ATCCTTGTCTCAAGAGGGACAAGACTCTTGTAATGAGGAACGCAAAACTTGTCTCCCAAGGAGTTTTAAGAACTGTACACATGAGTAATAGCCTACTGTGAAGCAAACAAGCAGGAACAATAGCAAAGCAATATACCACGCAAGTTTGCTTTGGCTAAGTTTCACTTATAATCGCTTGCCAAACATGCAGTTCTCAACTTTCATTAACCCATTGACACCTGGAGAGTTTTAGAAAAAAACGCATTTTTTGGACACTTTGGACATTTTTATCCACTAGCATCATGCTTTGTGGCATTTTTCTAGAGGCATGCACAGAAATCAAAATTTTGAACCTAAGTGTTCTATGTCTTTAGGCTTTTTGGTTTTTCAATTTTTCTCCTGTTCTTATCTTTTTGCTGCAGTTGTTGACCTACATGTAGGCTTGCTTCCAGTTCAAGAATTCTACAGAAATTGGTTGAAGATTCTTCAAAATGACTCCGAAACCCAGGAAAGGAGATTTTATATTAGATAACATTACATTAAAATTCATTTATAGAGTGCAATACTCCATTCATTGTCCATGGCAGGGGGTGAAAACAAATGACCAAATGCACAGGGCATGTGCATCTAAGATGGTTTGGTTTTGTGATCATTCAATCATTCTGGACCATCAAATTGTCTCACAGAGTTTGTCTACATGTATGTAAATATTTTAGTTAGACTAAACTTGTGAGTCTGGGTAAAATGGTGCTGTAATGCAACATACAGTATCAACAAATCATAATTTTATAGAGGGGATCTTTACTTGCTAACCATAAACACAGGAAAATACTGGACTTTGCCTGTTATATTTAGTCTGTAAAACTTTGGTATATATGTAACAATGTTGATTGTAGCAATAGACAGGAGTGAAAAATCAGCCAATGAAATCATTCAACATACAGTACATTTGTATTAAAGTGAAGGCATCAAATGTACTCTTATAATTTTTGATTACTGCTAGTATTTAATGGTAATTTCTTCCACAGTTTCAGTGCTGCTACAGAGTATGCCCTATCATCATATGTTTTTAGATTGGCCACAGGCTTAAAGAATTAAGGTTCTTTTTTAGGGAGTTAAAATCCAATACATTTCCTGAGGGAGCATGGCCTTGGACCCCTCTAGACTTTTGCATCTTTGACACTCATTGTTTTGGAAATCAATCACCATTTATCCTAAAGATAATAACAATATTTAAAGAGGGTGACACCAACACAGCTAACACTAAGTTCATTAGGGTGGCCTTCGTTAATTACTGTTTACACATTGATGATCCTAGATCCACAACTGATACTTGTGATACATTTTGTGGAGTACACACTGAGAAATTAGGGAGTGAAGTGCCAAAAATGGAGTATTAGATAAGGTGCTATCAGTACTATAATTATTATTACTACAATTATTATATCACAGTTACTTGGCTAGTGACAATTAAGAACAAGGGCAATTACTAACTTTATCTTGTAACTTTAGAATCCCAGTCTGTGTTGTGATTTCTTGAAGCTTTGTTTCAATTCTGCTGCTGAAACAAAATGCAGTATAGTTAAAGTCCAGTTAATCCCACAGGTCTCACCTATTAACAAACCTGAATGAAACACAATGGATAGCTGTACTGTGATCAGTGCATTCAAGCTTACAGTAGGAACCCAATAGACAGAGGCACCAGTGAAGAACAGAATCAACTACATGTAGCCCAACTACAAAATATCAGACACAACTTTCTTTTTCAGTATGGAGATAGCAACATTTCAATTCATAACTGCAGCATGACCAGTGAAGGTCACACTTTTTCCATTACCTTCATAGTTATACTCTCAATAAACATAATGTAGGTCTACAGATTTTCCAAAATAAAAACACAGTACATGTAAATGTCCTATTTCGCTGACCTGTCATCTTCCCGACTGTGATTCCCAGCATCTCTAGGCAAGTGGCGCTGTCGTCCTGGCCTTGGTTGTGAGGGGACACATAAATTTTCTGCATAGAGCAAACAAGGAAAGGCTATGATACACGAATACAAGATATGTATGTTTAATCCACCCAGAAACTTGGCAAATGTTGTCTTTTTTTCTAGGTGTCTACTACACTTTACTTTAACCCTATTTAGCCTGAGCTTTTTCTATTCATGGACCTGGAAGGCGGGGGTCCTTTGCCCACCCTATGTGAATAAATAAGAAATACAGTTATATAATAATAAATTTATATAGCACTTTTTTCAACATATCAAGAGTGCTCTACAATGTATCTCAAAATGTATCAATTGGCTCAGTAGTAATCAAACTTACAAGAGACGTAAACAAATCAAAAGTGTTTTAGTGATAATCACATGACTGTCAATCATGATGTCATATCATGCCTACATGATGTCACCTTTATAAAATGTCCATTTTGGATCATCTTCAAGTTCAAACATTTTTCAGTAACATCA